ACAATGGGTCCAAGGATTTCATCCTGAAACCTAGAGGCAGTCAAGGTGCCATTGTCTAGCCTGTAGAGGTCTGTGCATCCCTCCATGGATATGCCTCCCCAGACCATCACTGACCCACCCAACAAAACAGTCATGCTGAATGATGTTACAGGCAGTATAACGTTCTCCACCGCTTCCCAGACCCTTTCACATCTGTCACATGTGCTCAAGGTGAACCTTCTCTCATCTGTGAAAAGCACAGGGTACCAGTGGCGGACCTGCCAATTCTGGTGTTCAATGGCAAATGCCAATCAAGCTCTACGGTGCGGGCAGTGAGCACAGGGCCCACTAGAGGACGTCCGGACCCCTCAGGCCACCTTCATGAAGTCTGTTTCTGATTGGTCAGAGACATTCACACCAGTGGCCTGCTGGAGGTTATTTTGTAGGGCTCTGGCAGTGCTCATCCTGTTCCTCCTTGCACAAAGGAGCTTATAACGGTCATGCTAATGGGGTTAAGTACCTTCTACAGCCCTGTCCAGCTCTCCTAGAGTAATTTCCTGTCTGCTGTAATCTCCTCCATGCTCTTGAGGCTGTAGGAGACACAGCAAACTTTTTGGCAATGGCACATATTGATGTGCCATCCTGGAGGAGTTGGACTGCCTGTGCAACCTCTGTAGGGTCCAGGTACCACCTCATGCTACCCATAGTGGCACTGAGTCAAATGCAAAACTAGTGACAAACAGTCAGAAAAGATGAATAGGGAAAAAATGTCAGTGGCCTCCACATGTAAAACCATCCTGTTGCCATCCTGCACTGTTGTTAGATTCATTAATGGGGGTCATCTCATTGTTGCCCATCCAGTGCACCTGTTGTTAGATTCATTAATACCAAGGCAGGTGAAACTGATTAACAACACCCTCTGCTACTTAACTGACCAGATCAATATCCCAGGAGTTTTAATTGACTTGATGTTATGTTCTGATTAAAAAGTGTTCCTTTTTTTTGCAGTGTATATATATTTATATTCATCCTTTGGGATGAATTAGAGCGGAGACTGCAAGCCAGGCCTTCTCATCCGACATCAGTGCCTGACCTCACAAATGCACTTCTGGAAGGATGATCAAACATTCCCATAGACACACTCCTAAACCTTGTGGACAGCCTTCCTGGAAGAGTTGAAGCTGTTATAACTGCAAAGGGCGGGCCAACTCAATATTGAACCCTACGGACTAAGACTGAGACGCCATTAAAGTTGCACACATCTCAGGAGGGATTTTGGTCCACTCTTCTTTACAGATCTTCTCTAAATCCTTAAGGTTTTTTGGATGTTGTTTGGCAACTCGAAAGTTTCAGCTCCCTTCCCCCCATAACTTTTTCTAGTCTAGGAGACTGCTAGGCCACTCCATGACCTTAAATGTGCTTTCGAAGTTTCAGCTCCCTCCATACATTTTCTATATGATTAAGGTCTGGAGACTGGCTAGGCACTCCATTGACCTTAATGTGCTTCTTCTTGAGCCACTCCTTTGTTACCTTGGCGGTATGTTTTGGGTCATTGTCACGCTGGGAAAGACCCATCCACGACCCATCTTCAGTGTTCTGGCTGAGGGAAGAATGTTCTCATGATTTTACAATACATTGCCCCGTTCATTGGTCCCTCAAGGCAGCATTAGCAGAGAAACAGCCCCAAAGCATAATGTTTCCACCTCTGTGCTTGACTGTAGGAGTGGTGTTCTAAGGGTCATAGTCAGCTTTTTTTCTTCCTATAAACATGGCGAGTCGAGTTAATGCCAAAGAGCTCAATTTTGGTCTCTTCTGACCACAGCACTTTCTCCCAATCCTTCTGTGAATCATTTAGATGTTGGCAAACTTCAGACAGGCCTGTAAATGTGTCTTCTTGAGGAAGGGGACTTTGCGGGCACCTCAGGATTTCAATCCATGGTGGCGTATGGTGTTACCAATGGTTTGTTTAGTGATTGGTCCAACTGCCTTGAGATAATTCACAAGCTCCTCCCATGTAGTTCTGGGACTGATCCCCTACTTTTCGCATGATTTCAATCCATGGTGGCGTATGGTGTTTACCAATGGTTTGTTTAGTGACTTGGTTTGCCTTGAGATAATTCACAAGCTCCTCCCATGTAGTTCTGGACTGATCCCCTACTTTTCTCATGATTATCTTTACCCCATGAGGTGAAATTGTGCATGGAGCTCCAGACTAAGGGCAGTTGATAGTTATTTTGTATTTCTTTCATTTGCGAATGACCTCTCCAACAGTTGTCTCCTTCTCACTCTTTTGGTCCACTCTTCTTGCTTCTTCTTGCTTATGGTCTTGTAGCCCATTCCAGCCTTGTGCAGGTCTACAATCTTGTCCTTGACATCCTTTGACAGCTCTTTTGGTCATGGTTGTGCAGTTTGAATGAAAAAGAGATTATGTGGACAGGTGTCTTTTGTTCACTTAACAAAAGACACCTGAGCACATAGCCAGTCTGTGGGAGCCAGAATTATTGTTTGGTTGGTAGGGGATCAAAACACTTATTTTACTCAATGAATTGCAACTCAATTTATAATATTTGTATTGTGTTTTTTTTCTGGATTTTTGGATGATATTCTGTCTCTATCATTTAAAAACCTTCAAACACCTATGATAAAAAATTCTAGACCCTTCATTTCCTTGCTCATACCTTTGAAGGACGATTTGAATCCATATAAAATAAATGGCTCAAATCGCACTGCAAAGAATCGCATGCAATTTGAACAGGATTGTGGTGCAATTCCTGTCCAAATCGCATGTAGTTTCCCCCACTGCTCTTGTGTGAACCCAGTATAGAAAGACAGGGAAGTGCCAAAATGTAGCAATGAGCAAACAGTTTATTAAAAAAATGTTATAACAACTCACATGTTAAAAGTACATATCACACAAGTCAAATCCACATCTGCACGATCAAACTGTCTCTATCCCGTGGACCTGCAGATGATGGAAAACCACGGCCACTTGCGGTGCTCACAGGGATGGAGGAGATGTATTAGGCATGTATAGGTGGTCCGCCCCCAAGCTGACATCACTGCCCATGGGGACACTATGACTGCAGCAATGGGCAAACAGTTTATTCAAGTTGAGTGCAAAAATTTATTAAAAATGTTATCACAACTCAAGTTGAGCATTGAACATGTGGACAAATCCTTATGGCATACCTCCCAAATGTTTGAGATGGGAACGAGGGATGCCTATTAGCAAATGTATGTAGGCATAGGACACACCCCCTTAAGGAGAATTATACAAAAAAAGATTAGCTAAAACACAAGTGTTTTCAACTACTATTCCTTTGTACTGTATTTTGAAGTTTACAAATGCAACCATTTAGAAACTGGATGAAAAGTTTAGCACTGTGAAACACTTTTTGATAGTGAAATAGTGCATGTTATATGTATAAATGAAGTGCAGCGCTAAAAACACACAATCAAAAAATTAGGTGGAACAGTCAAGTGCAGCATAAATGTCCGTGAATGACTGTGACAATCCATGCACTAAAGTGCAATATTAAAAATCAATAGCAATGTTCGTGGTTGTACATATTAAATGACAATTCACTTGCACTTCTTTTATACTTATGCTTATTGGGATTGTTACCTATACCTTAAGTGCTAGCTGCTTCAATATTTCCACTAGTGCTTGCCTGTATACTTTTTTTTTATAGTGCATTTTATATACAACTATATAGATCAGAGCAAAATGAGGGACAAATGAGGAGGAAAGAGGGACAGAGGGACTTTGTTCCAAATCAGGAACAGTCCCTCAAAATCAGGTACAGTTGGGAGGTATGCTTATGGTGATATAATGACTGGTGTGGCTGCCATCAGGGACACTGGGACTCGTGTTGGTGGTGATCAGGGCCATTGATACTCGTTGTGGCGGTGATCAGGGACACTGTGACTGGTGTGCTGTGATCAGGGCCACTGTGACTGGTGTGGCGGTGATCAGGGCCACTGTAACTGGTGTGGCGGTGATCAGGGCCACTGTAACTGGTGTGGCGGTGATCAGGGCCATTGAGACTGGTGTGGCGGTGATCAGGGCCACTGTGACTGGTGTGGCGATGATCAGGGACACTGGGACTGGTGTGCTGGTGATCAGGGCCATTGGGACTAGTGTGGTGGTGATCAGGGACACTGGGACTGGTGTGCTGGTGATCAGGGCCATTGGGACTAGTGTGGTGGTGATCAGGGAACTGGGACTGGTGTGGTGGAGATCAGGGACACTGGGACTGGTGTGGCGGTGATCAAGGCCACCGTGATTGGTGTGGTGGTGATCAGGGCCACTGTGACTAGTGCAGCAGTGATTGGGGATGCTGAGTGGGTTGCAGTGATTAGGGTCACTGATCAGCAGCACTGGTCTGGTGACATTGTACTGCTGTGGCGGTGATCAGAGACAAGGAATGCCAATGTTAGTGCATCACTGGGTTTACTTTTTTCACAGAATTTCGTGAGTGACATTTTTAATAATTTTATTCACTGCAACGGTTCGCATTACAACCAGTTGCACTGAGAAAAATAGAGCATACAGTACTTTTTCAGAACACATACCATAGGAACACTGTGGTATGCACTGACACCACTGCATATGAGGTGCAAGGAAATATGTCTTATTAACTGGCATCCATTTTGTATAATGCCTCCATTTCTAGATGTGTGAACAGTTAGTTTCGATTTTGTAACTTCTCTCTCATTTCCTTAGATTAGTTTAATTTCTCTAAACGGAACTACCTTATATGGTATCCTTCAACTATTTGCAGTTTCTGTTCTTCACGTAACTATATTGATAAGAATGGAATGTTTCATTGGTTATCCTGAGATTAAGCAACGCCTACTGAGTTCTGTATAACTGTACTTGTCATGCATTAACCGCCTCCCGCCCGCCATATAGTGCAATGACGGGCGCAAGGTGGTTCTCTCTCGTTCTGGGAGGACGTCATATGATGCCCCCTCCATTCTCACTGCGCATGCTCGGCTCCGGGAGCGTGCAGCGCGGCGATCGGCGGTGCGCTGTGTCCCTCGGACACAGCGGATCACCAATCCACGGAAAGAGCCAAAGATGTCGGCTCAGTCATGTGATCCAATCACAGCTGATCACATGTAAACAGGGAAATGCCGTTATCGGCATTTCTCTCCCCACGAGCTGTCACGCTGACATCTCGAGAGGAGAGTCGGTAATCGGCATTCCTCGGAGGGGACATGTACACAGATCATCAGAGCACTGATGATCAATGTGCCCTGATGATCTGTGTAGCCCCAGCAGTGCCACCTAGCCCCAGCAGTGTGTAAAGCCCACCTGTCAGTGTCCATCAGTGCCAGCTCTCAGTGCTTATCCATGCCACCTGCCAGTGCCCACATTTCAGTGCCCATCAGTGCCACATGAATACCACATATCAGTGCCCATCTGAGCTGCCTTTCAGTGTCAACCATCAATGCCAATCAGTGCCACCTATCAGTGCTGCCAATCAGTGCCACCTATCAGTGCCAGTCAGTTCCGCCTATCAGTGCCAGTCAGTGCCGCCTATCAGTGCTCATCAGTGCCGCCTAACAGTGCCAGTCAGTGCCGCCTATCAGTGCCATATATCAGTGCTGCCTTTCAGTGCCCATCAGTGATGCCTGTCAATGCCCATCAGTGCCACCTACCAGTGCCTCCTCATCAGTGCCACCTATCAGTGTCCATCAGTGCAACCTATAAGTGCCCATCACTGCAGCCTCATTAGCGCAAATCAGTGAAGGAGAAAAATCACTTATAACAAAATTTTTATAACAAAATTATTTTTTATAACAAAAACTAAGAAAAAACGTTTTTTTTTCAAAATTTTCAGTGGTTTTTGGTTTGTTTAAAAAAAAAAAATAAAAACCCAGAGTTGATTAAATACCACCAAAATAAAGCTTTATCTGTCACAAAAAAAATGATAAAAATGTAATATGGGTACAGTGTTGCATGACCGCGCAATTGTCATTCAAAGTGCAACAGTGCTGAAAGCTGGAAATTGGCCTGGGCAGAAAGGGGGTATAAGTGCCTTGTAGGCTTGTGGTTAAACTTTCAGAGATTTAACTTAAACACTTAGGTATCTGAAGCTTTATTTCTCCCAGGCCTGTTGGTGAAAATAACGAGGACAAGGGGGCTACAGACATAGGCTGAATCCTTGCATGAGGCATTTTGCCTTGTCTGTGCATTGAGGCTGCATTGTAAATTGCTGCAATACAGCCACATTTAGTGTGAATGGGCCCTAAGTGTTACTGAAGTGTAGCAGAGAAAAATCCAGAGAAAAATCAGGTCTGCTGTCCTATCAGAGAGGGCTGTGCTGTGTAGCAGAGTTGTGTAAATGTTAGGAGTGGAAACACAGAAATATACATTGCCAGATAAAATAGCTCCATAAATGTAATTAATTTGTGTATTTAGTTGTTTGCCAAAAGTTGTAAATGTACTTTCAGGCAATTATTACAATAACATGGGGGTGTGCATGCTGAATAGACTTTAGTTTCTCTTTAAAGGAGACGTATAGCCTATAAAGCTATTTATTGCAGTTTGTTTTCCACTCCTGTGACCCATTTTCAGCTGACAGTGAGACACTGAGAACCTGAGCCAGTGGCTCCTGCCGCATGCAAAGCTCAGAAAGTGAAGTCCCTGTACTTGCCCTACTCCTCTGGCATCTCTGCCTGCCACTATGCACTGTCCCTGACAGACAAAGAACCTGTTTCTACTCTAAACATTCACACAATGTGCACCAAAGCAGGGAGCCAAGACCTTAAATAGGCTCTATCCTCACCCAAGATGGCCACCAATGTCACATGGGGCACCAGCATTCAGGATACCTCTCAACTCCCCCCCCCCCCCCGCCATCTGCATTGCCACTGCAGTTGAGAGCCACCTGCAGTGGAGAATGCAGACTGCACCTGCCTACAAATGCTGGAGGGGCAGTGCAGATAGCTGGTGTCTGATAGTGACTGAGAACTGAGCAATCAGCAGTCTTTAATCACTCAGTTCTCAATCTTAGAAGCAGCGAGGAAAAGATGCAGCATCAGACTGATGCTGCGTCCACCTAGTTTTTTTTTTTTTTTTTTTAAACCATACTTAAAGTGTTACTAAACCCGGGACCCTGCATTCTCCCACAGTACACACAACATGGAAATGCAATTATTATAGAAAATATAAACTGCTAAATATGCTTTCTCATCAGCAGTTCGAGAAGTCTTGTGACTTCCATCAGTGTGCAGCAGAGCACCGGTTAAAGCTTGTAGGAGGAGTTTTCATTCTCCCCTGATTTTCCTATGAGGCTGCATAACCCCTGACCCTCTGTCTGGACAGCTCTAATTGGCCCTGTGCTGATCACATGAACTCTCCCAAGACAGAAAAAAAACTGTCTAGCAATACACACCAAACTGGGCATGAGAAGCATGCCCCGAAGACCCTTTTCTATCAGCAGATGTATTGGGGACAGGGGAAGAATGGGAAGATCAGATAAAACAGGATCAAACATTCTTTTTACACAATGCAGAGGATTAACCCCTTAGGTTCCACAGTGAGTATAACAAGCATGCTTTACTACATATACAGACTGATTTTACTGTTGTGGGTTTAGTAACACTTTAAACCCATACAGATTGTGTCTTAAAGAAAAGAAATGCTTGTAAGATTTTTTTTGAAGTGTAGGTCACCTTACTGATAGAGCAAAATCACTTCCGATAATGACAATGAAAGCAAACAGGACTGGCGCTACAGAATACAAGAGCAACAACCTCCAGCTCAATGACAACTAGTTGGCAAACTCTTATTTTGATGATGAACTGCAATTAGGCCAAGTTATAAAATGAAGGGCGCATTTCTGCGTGCAAGAGAAGCTAATAGCAAACTAGTTTTACAGCAGCTGGCAAAGTCTACAAACAGGTTTAGCACAGCTCTGTCCATGGAACATTTCCCTCCCATACTAAACTCCACCAGCTTTCTTCCTGACTATCACACCTATATCGCCTAAATTATGTGGACTTCCCTCCAATCGATTGAGTTCAGCTGTTTATTGTGAAGTGTACTGTCAAAGCTGCGGCATACAAAGACATGTTTGACAACTGTACATTTCCATTCTTGTAGAAATAGTCTGAGGAAGATTCTTTTCTGTTGCAGCTTTGGTGTGGAGGTGCTCAAGTGGTCTGCACAGAGCCTTGGCCACAACCTTACTGAATGCCGATTGTGAGCCATGTCTTCTCATCTAACACTAGTATCTGACCTCACAAATGCATTTATGGCTAAATAGGCACAAATTCCTATAGACATACTCCAAAGTCTTGTGAAAACAATCTCAAAAGAGTACAGGCTGTTAAAACTGCAAATGGGGGTGGGATTGGGCATATTAATGCTTTTGTATTGGAACAAGATGTCCATCAAGCTTATATACTGTAGGTGTGATGATTGCACGTCCGCATACATTTGACCATATAGATAAAGGGTCCTCAAAGATTCTAAACAAAGGGTCAGTTCACTGTCCTTAAGACTTTAGGGGGGGTTGGATTGTGGTCAGTGGGAGTAGATAATGCCCTGGTGTTAGTGGGGATAAACAATACTCCAGGCTTGGTAGTCAGAGAATAAAAATGCCCAGAGTTGTTGTTGTTATTATTATTATTATTATTATTATACAGGATTTATAAGCGCCAACAGTTTGCTCAGTGCTTTACAATATAATGGGAGACAATACTGCAACAATACAGTTCAATACAAGAGGGTTAGAAGGGCCCTGCTCCTTGGAGCTTACAATCTAGGAGGGAGGGGCTAGTGGTACAAAAAGGTAGTAACTGTGGGGGATGGACTGGTAGGAGGAGTAGAAGATTCCATTATTAGCTGAGGGCAGGATAGGCTTCCCTGAAGAGATAGGTTTTCAGAGATCTCCTACAAGTGAGCAGAGTAGGCGATAGTCTAATAAATTGGGGTAGAGAGTTCCCAAGGATGGGGGAAGCTCTGGAGAAGTCCTGGAGACGATTATGGGATGAGGAGACAAGGGAGCTGGAGAGAAGGAGGTCATGCGAAGAGCGGAGAGTACGGTTTGGGTGATATTTGGAGACAAGATCGGTGATGTAATTTGGGGCAGAGTTATAAATGGCTTTATATGTTATTGTTAGTGTTTTGAATTTCATCCGTTGGGCAATGGGAAGCCAGTGGAGAGATTGGCAGAGAGGGGTGGCTGATACAGAACGGTTAGTAAGGTGGATGATTCTGGCAGCAGCATTCATGATAGACTGAAGAGGGGATAGCCTGCGATGAGGTAGGCCAGTGAGGAGGGAGTTGCAATAATCAAGGCGAGAGATAACAAGGAAGTGAATAAGTTGCTTAGTGGCTTCCGAGGTTAAGAACGGTCGTATCTTGGAGATGTTACAGAGGTGGAGTCTACATGATTTTGACAGCGATTGGATTTGGGACTGGAAGGACAGATAGGAGTCTAGGATTACACCTAGTTCCCTGGCATGAGAGGAGGGACTAATAGTTGTATTATTGATCTTGATGGAGAAGTCAGGGGAGGGGGCACGGGCTGGAGGGAATAATAAGAGCTCAGTTTTGGAAAGATTGAGTTTGAGGAAGTGGAGTGACATCCATGCCGATATGTCACTTAGCAGGTTAGTAATGTGAGAGGAGACTGAAGGGGTGAGGTGAGGGGTAGAAAGATAGATTTGTGTGTCATCAGCATAGAAATGGTACATAAAGCCATGGGAGTTTATAAAGTAACCAAGGGAGGAGGTGTAGATGGAGAAGAGAAGGGGTCCAAGGACAGAACCTTGAGGGACCCCAAGAGAAAGAGGGAGTGGAGAGGAGGAGCCAGGTTATAAGTAACGCTGAAGGAGCGCTGCGATAGGTAGGAGGAGAACCAGGAGAGAGCAGAGTCTCGGAGGCCAAGAGAGTGGAGTTTTTTGAGGAAGAGGGGATAGTCAATAGAGTTGATGGTTAGGGGAAATAAAAACATTTCTAGTGCCTGTGGTAAGTGGGAGAGGTAAAATGCCCCCATCATTGGTATCAGCTGGAGAAATGATGCCTTTTCATTGGTGTCAATGGGAGAAATAGTGCCCCATCATTGGTATCAGTGGGAGGAATTGTGCAACATTGTTGGTTCCAGTGGAAGGAATAGTGCCTTGATGTTAGTGGAAGGAATTGTACCCCATCATTGGTGTCAGTGTGGAGGAATAGTGCTTCATTGTTGATGTCAGTGGAAGGAAAAGTGTCTCACTGTTGGTATTAGTGGGAGGAATAGTGCCTTATCATTGGTGTCAGTGGAAGGAATAGTGCCCTATTGTAGACTTTAGTAGAAGGAATAGTGCTCATCCTTGGGGTTAGTTGGAGGAATATTGCCCCATTGTTGGAGTTAGTGGGAGGAATAATGCCCCATCGCCATCAGTGGGAGGAATAGTGACTGATCAATGGTGTCAGGGAGGAATTGTGCCCCATCATTGGTGTCAGTTGAATGAATTGTGCCCCATCAATGTTGTCATTGGAAAGAATA